AAAAAAATATCATATTTACAGTAAACCTTTGATAGCATCAGCCTTTTGTTTTATATGACCTAAATTGAATCTTTGATTTCCTGAGATTGCCTTGAAACAGGTTAGGGCTCATGTATCATATATCTACTTGTTCTGATTGAGGTAAGTGTAAAGTACAGCTGTTTTCAAGCATAAGTTGTGGCTCTAAAACAATTTAAATGTCCACAATACATGCTTAACTTCTTGTGTAGATTATTCATCTTCCTGATAATTCTGGAAAATAATAAAGTGAGATTATAGATGAATACAGCTAAAAATCCTCCATTTATGACAAATGAGAATTATTTGACGATTCCTTTTTTATTCCTTAGACTGGCATTTCTCACTAGCTCGGCAACATTATGAATATATCTAAATACATGTGGTATGAAACAAAAATTAGTCCTGGGTAGGGAACGTTCTTCAAGTACTGCGTGTCCTGTCTACCGTGTGCTCAACTCTGTCATCACTCTGGTGTAACTTTTCCTTTAGACCACACAGTATGTAAACACAAAACACAGAGACAGTTACCAACCTTTTGCTGCTCAGAGTATTCACAAAGATTAAAAAAAAAAAGTTTTCCTTCCAGTCGTGTATCGACTTAAAAAAAGTTTATTATTTAAAATGTTTTCTTACACTGTATTTCTAGCTGTGTGCAAATCCTTATTCATTCAGAAAGACTTAAGTCTTTGATGTCCAACAACTGTTTGATGAATAATCCCTCCAAAGCAACAAAAGCTCTTTAATTCAGGCCATTTAGAGTAAAGGACAGCTCAGTGCTAGGAATTATAGACTTTCACCATAATCGCTGCATAGCTCCAAAAGTGTATTCATTAAAACAACCTTTTTTTTTCAGTAGATTGTTTTTCTGTGTACGTGATTGACCTATTCTACATTATTACCTGTTAGTCGTATGTCTTAGAATATAGAGTTGATTGATCGACAGCAGTTTGACCTCTGTAGCAGCTTCTGGTATGTAAACAGCTGTTCAGGCTTCTGTTTAAACTTTTTTATGCTGCTTTCTCCTTTTTTACCCACGAATGATGGCACTTCTCCCAGGCATGCTTTGTGGTCTTGCTTGAAGTGATTGCAACCTTCTTTGGGCAAGTCCCTTTTCCATCCAAAGACATAATTTCCATTTGAAGCAATGACAGAATGTTGGCATCATCACACCTGTTCCTCTTTTCTTATGTAGTTTCATGTACAAACATTCCGATTGGGGGCATGCACAAAACGACAAAACTTACGAAACCAAGCAAACGCATAGCTTTCTCAGTAATGAGTGAGATTTTAAGTATCTCCCACAATTGTAAAAGGAGTTCTCTCCCTTGTTCTTTTTTATGCTCCCATTTTGCCTGTTGCTGCTCTGACTAACTACAGCCTCAGCTTCTTAGTGCAAAAAGTAGATGCTGATAAGTGATAAGCACATTTAATTGAGATTTTTAAACACACAATGCATCCCCCTTTTCAGTTCTAATATCGGTTCTGATCAATCATTACCTTGCCATTTCCTTCATTCTGGGGTATTTTTAACTGGTTGTTTAACATGTAGTTTTACCTACATAAGTAAACACGATTCAATAACTACTTTAGAGTTAATGGCACAACAAGAAGTAGCCTGACCAACAGCTCTCCTTGTGTAAACAGAACACACTCCACTTCTCTCACACATCACCCCCTTCCCCCCTTCGACAACTGCTGGCACTAACGTAGCGCTAGCTAAGATGCTACATATGTAGCCCTCCACTTTACACAACTTAATAAACACTTTGTACAAAATCAGTTTAGTGTTATTAACTGATCATAACAAATAAAGACTAAACTTATGAAACCAGAAGTTGCAACATAGGTATATCTACATTTTAAACACACAAAATAAAGCACAACTAGCCATTGATTTAACCATTAAGTATACAATGTAATTATGACAAAGAATGGAGGATTTACTTGCCTTCATACAGATAGATGAACATGTACTTCCTGTTTATCTCTATTGTAATCAGCAGCTCATGAGGTAGGCCGCCGGCCTTTATCCATCTTTTATATTTTTCCAAACTTCGTTTAGTTTTTGAAATAGAATAAACCATATTCCATCCTCTAAATGCTCAGGGTAACCATGTCTGAATTACATATTTGCCACTGGCAATGTTTAATCATTTTTTCTGATGATTTTTCATGAAATCCTGACCGCAAAACATTCGTATTGCAAAACCCCGACAATGTTGTTGGAGGAAAAGAGGGTGGAGCTCCTGCAGGTAAGGGGCGTTCACTTTGAAAAATTGCGATTGCTGATAGCCGGATATGGGCACCGGCGACCCCCGTGACCCAAGATGGAAGGAACGGGTAGAAGGTAATGGATGGATTTGAAAATACCAATTTGAAAACTTGGTAAAGAAACTGAAAGTAAAACTTTTTTTTTTTTTTTTAGAAATAGATCCTAATTCTGAACGCTAGGAAACACCTTGTAACTGTGACTTTCCTCCCCTCCATTGACTATGGTGACATCATTTACATGAATGCTCCTGCAAGCACCTTGCAGATGTTGGATGCTGCCTATCATGGTGCACTAAGATTCATAACTGGCTGTAACTGTCGTACCCATCATTGCACCCTGTATTAACTGGTTAACTGGTCTTCATTAACTTCACATATACTTTCCCACTGGTACATTTCATCTTTAAATCACTTCTTGGTCTTTTGCCTTCATACATCTTCTCCTTCATGTCTCTGCGTGAGTGCAGTTACAGCATGCGCTCTCAGGACATTATTACATGCAGTGTTCCCTAACTTGGCAAAAGGGCCTTCTCCTACTCTGCTCCTGTTTCCTGGGATATCTTGCAAAAAGATTTGAAGCTCTTGACCTTGACCTCTTTAAGTGGCTTCAAAAATCTGCTAAGTTCATGGCAAAAACCAATGCAGACATGTTCCTGTTTTTAGTATTTTATATATCTTCATAATGTTGCGGTTTTTGTTTCTTCCATTTATTTTATTTTTTCAATTCATATGCCTTCTTTTAAGATTGTCTACTGTTGTCATCATTCTTTGTTAAAATCAGATCTCCCTTGTAAATGAGTCCTGGAGGCTCAATGAGACTAACCTGTATAAATACATGTTGAATTAATCTAGCATGCTAACTATGCTACAACAAGAACAAGTCTGAACATTTCTTCTAGATCTTATCTGCCCTTTGATTGCTTAGAATTTTTTAATTTGGCCTTCTGGCAAAAAAAAAAAAAAAAAAATGTTGCCCACCCCTGCTGTACTTCTACAAAATGAGACTACAAGTTGCTGATTTCTGCAGTTTTTCTACTTATTATTGTATATAGTTTGTATATTGTTACTGTGTTTAGTTTAACTTACGCATACTATGGACTGATTAACATGTATCCATGGATATTTTTACATTATTTATGTTTAGCGTATATCTTAAATCTTTAACTTTTTATACTTTTTTTTTTTTTTTTTTGCTATTTTTGGGTGTAACTGGGATCTTGAGTTCACCATTTCATTCCACCTCATGTACCACGTGATTCGGATGACAATAAAGAACCTTGAACCTTGATTTTAATGATTTTAAGGGAAAAAAAAAAACACAAGAAAAAATATCATACAGTCATCAGTGAAGGAACTGTACAAAGCTGATAGTGTCCTTTAGTGCATGACTCCTCAAAATGAATATCAAGCTTATTTCCTCCTATGACCATCATTTAGGGTTTTTGCAGGCCTGTCCCACAGTATCTCAAATGCCTGTTTCAATTAGTGGTCTTCATTGTCTAGTGCTTGCATGCACTGGTAACACTCTGGCAACAGTTCTTAGTTTGTCTTTATTCATTCATTCAACCTTTATTTAGACAAGTTAATCCCATTGAGCCTCGGGGACTCATTTACAAGAGAGATTTGATTTTAGGACCTTCTTTAATACTTGGTCATCACTGCTTCTTTGGAGGAAATAAAATTGCCTGAGTTTAACATTATGACCCATGTGAAGTCTTTACACCTGCCTATTCACCAGCATTTGATTCTATGAAGGTTACAAAACAAATATACGTTTGTACATTACATGTAGCTTGTTTTAAAGAAAGAACTGTTGTTCTCACAACACAGGCTCTGTTGAGATCTCTCCAAGATAACTGCTGAACTTTTTTATACTGTAGATGAGTCAACATAGTCACTAAAGTCAGTATATTACAGATATGAAATAACATTATACTCTGAATCTGTTTTTGTGGGTACTGAAGCCGTAATAACAAGGCTTCCTGTATGTGCCTTACAATTAGACTTTTTATCCCTCTGAGGTTAAGTTAGTTATTTATTTTATCCATCAAGGCCTTGCTTCTTTGCTGAAGAACTGATCAGTGAATCTGTTCCAGTTTATTTATGGAACATTCTGTGGTTTGGGTGAATCTGGTGAGCAGGACATACTGTTTTTTTTTTTTGGGGGGGGGGGGGGGTGTTAGAACAAGAGGCCTTAAGCCTGTTTTATCAATTATGGTAATTCTTGCATAGTCCTGTTTTTATGAAGGTATTAGGATTTATTCTGCATGGTACAATATTATTGTGTAATCTGACAGAGTTCAATTGGCCAATAAGACTTGAGTTATTTGTTGTGAATTACGGTAATGTACAGACACCAGATGAAATTTAACTTCTTCTCCCCCAACATTTTATAAATTACTTTGTCTTTGTTGTTTCTGGCAACAGTAGTAGATATGCATTCTGTAACTGTGTTTTTCAAATAATTACTAGCTTGTTAACAACCCAGAAAATCCAGCCATGTGTTATTTGCCAATGGTCAAACTTTACTCCAGAAGAGCTCATTAAAATGGGATGTCCACTGGCTGATTTAAATGAGGGGATTTGTTTTTGATTGCGAATAAAACTGTCTGGGCACAGATGTTTTTTGGTGATGTTGAAAACAAGCATCAGGATGATTTTATTTCCAATGTTTGAATTAAAAGTGATATTTTCTGGATCTCATTTAGGGAAAAACGATTCCTGTGGCACCTGAAGCTCATATTTCCTCAGAGCAGCACAGAGTTCAGTCAGAGGAGGTGAGTTGCACAATAATAGTATTATCATTGATTATTAAATTTATAATTGTTTATGCTAATCCGTCAGTATCAGATAACAGATTATATCAATATTGAATGTTTCCTGCCCAAAATTTGACTTGATCATCACGCTGCTCATGTAACATTTTTCCTCCTTAACATTTTTTTTAATCATGCTAGGGTGTCTGATGAACAGACATTGATCCAGATCCTGACTGCTTATATTCACCCTACAGACTCAGATCCTGTAACTCGTCAAAAGTGAGCATTGTTTCTCATCTTATTTTATCCTGTGTAATTTTTTTTTTCCTTGTGTTTGTTTATAGAGATCATAAGGCTCCCAATTCAAGAAAGTAGAGATGCACGATACAGTATTGGATTTTTGGCCGATATTCGATGCCCATATGTTAAAACTTATTTGGCATATAACCAATACTGATATATATATATATATATATATATATATATATATATATA